GAGAGGCACCCCTCAGCCACGGCCGCAGTCAGGGCCCTGCGGGGTCTGGGGCATGTGTACGCCTGGCTCCCGGGGAGCTTTGCAGGACCATGGGGCAGGCGTGGGGAGGGGCAGCGGGGAAGGGGGGGCAGCAGGGAGGGCAGACCCAGGATATACACAGCTGGATGGGCCAGGGCTCTGCTTGAACCCTGGGCTTTCTACATGAGGAAGCACCGTGGGGAGTTCACAGGGTGCATTCATTAGGCACCTTCTGTGTGCAAGGCACCGAGCCGGCCACGTCTCAGTGAGCAGTCTCAGACAAGCAGATGCAGTTCCTTCCTTGACCCTGGAGATACTGTGCCACTACTGGTTTGTGTGACCACCCAGCCAAGGCAGGAGGTGAGGGTGAGGTTAGGTGGGCTGTTGCCGGAGGGGGGACAGCATGGGGTTTGGGGGAAGTGGTGGAGATGGGTGGGCCAGGCAGGGCCAGGCCTTGTGGGGTCCTGGAGGCTGCCCAAGAGCACTGCCCCAACCCCGAGGGCTGTGGGAAGGGCCTGATGCAGCGGGTGAAGCTGCCTTCCTGCATTCATAGTTTCAGAACTCTCTGTCTTGGGGGACCAGCGGCTGCCTCCACGTACCACCCCCCCAACTCCCACGGTATAAAAGTTTCCTCGCCTCGTCCAGGGGGCAGATGACCTCATTGGACTCTTTCCATCTCTTGCTTTCATAGAGAAATTACAGTTTATAATTGGATGAAATCACACGGGTGCAGTAGCGATCATTGCCCACACTGGAGCCCAACGTCACCCCTCACGAGGGGGCCCTGTCCTCATCTTCCCTCCTGTCCAGCCCCCACCCGCCCCTTCCTGGGGGCCACTCCGCCTCCTGCTCACACCTGCTGTCCCCCGGGGCTTGGTAGTTCTAGACCTCCTTGCTCCTGGGGAAGCTTGTCCCCAAACCTGCCCCATCCTGTGGGCCCCATCGGCCTGGCCAGCACCGCCCCTCTGAGTGCAGCCCTGCCAGGCTGGGCGCCCTGTGGGCAGCGCCCCCCAGTCTGGGCTCTGGGCTTATTAAAACACATGCCCTGAAAATTCGTTTTTATTTGGAACAGCCCCTGACAATGAGCATTTCTCAAACCAGCCACCTTCAGCCCTACAAAGCCAAGTGCCCAGATGCAGCTGAGCCCATCTGGATCCTATTTCAAACCAGAGCTGACACTCAGATGTGTAATGAAAGCACTTTCCAAAGAGGGGCTCCTGCAGGGGGAGTCAGGGCAGCGGGCAGGCCTCCGCGCCAGGCCACTGAGAGGCTGCCGATTTGTTGGGATTCCTGCCAACAGCCGGCCCTGCCACCCAGACTGTGGAAGGGCAGGTGGGGCGCGGAGCCCTGACCCCAGCCTGGGAAGCCGGTGGCCGCAGGGGGGAGGCCGGGACGCAGCTTGCCTGGCTCCCTGATGCTCCTGCTCGCGTAGGGCAGCGGGAGGGCAGCGCTTGTTCTGGAAGCCAAGGCCACGGGCCCAGTGGGTCCAGCTGCCGGGGGAGCGGAGCTCTGGGCTGGGGCAGGGCCCCTGCAACCTCAGGCGCTCTCAGGACTTCCTTTCTCTCCTTCCCGCGCCCTACAACCCCACCCCGGGAAAAGGGGAGCCAGGGCTCTGGGGAAGGGGCTGTGTTCCTGGGTTTGAGAAGAGAAGGGAGGCGGTGGAGAATGGTCCCAGGCCCTCCCAGCTCATGGGAAGTGGCTTCAAGAACAGGTGCCAAGAGAGGGATGGGAGCAGAGGGGTCGCAGCCCCAGCAGCCTGTCCCCGGGGGGCTCCTGATTCCAGGGTGTAATCACTTCTTCTGTTTTTTGGCAGGTGAGGAGGCAGGGAGTGGGTGAGGAGGACTCCTTTTTGGACAGACAAGCCCAGGAGGTGAAGCAGGAATAACCCATCCCTCACCCCGCCCCCGCCTCCCTGCGAGAAAACCTCTCTGCAAACAGGGGCAGCCAAGCAGGACCGAGCCCTCGCCCCCCCCAAGCATCTTCCCAGAGAGGGGCCGGTGGGCCTGACAGCTCGGTGGCACATGTCACCGCCCAGCCCGCCGTGCACATCTGAACGCCTCCGCG